ACCAAATCACAGTTTCTCTGGGATATATGCTTAGGGGTACAGTTTGCTGGGTAATCACATGTTTAGTGTTTCCCCCTCCCCCCACCCCCGCAGAAACTGCTACACTATTTTCCAGAGTGTCTGTACCATTTTGTATCCTACCAGCAATGTATGAGTGGTCTAGTTTCTTTCCATCCTCGGTAGAAATTGGTGGTGTCACTATTTTGTATTTTTGCCATTCTGATAAGCATGTAGTGATATCTCATTATGGTTTTAATTTGTGTTTCCCTAATTGCTAATCACATTGAACGTGTTTTCATGTGCTTATTTGCCAGCTGCACATCTTTCTTTGATATAATGTCTCTGTGCTTTTGGTGTCAAGTCTACTTTTTTATCTAGATCCTGAAGACTTTATCCCATTCCCCTCCCCCCAGTTTTATAGTTTCATTTTTCATATTAAACATTTAAGTCCGTGGTCCATTTTAAGTTAGTATTTTGTATAAAGTGTTAGATTTGGGTGGAGGCTTACTTTATCCTCTGTTCTTTGGATGGCCAGTTGCTCCAGCATCGTTTGTTGAAAAGGCTGACTTTCCTCCATTGGATTGCCTTTGCACCTTTGTCGGAAATCAGTAGGCCATACTTCTGTAGAGCTATTTTTGGATTCTCTGTTCCACTGATTGATATGTCTATCTCTTTGGCAGTGCCATATGGTTTTGATTACATTATCTATGTAATAAGTGTTGAAATCAGGTAAAATAATTTGAACCCCCCCTTTTTTTACAGAACTGTTTTGGCTATTCTAATTCTTTTGCCTTTCCACATAAATTTTATTTTTTTTTAAAGATTTTATTTATTTGAGAGAGAGAGAGAGAGAGAGATAGTGTATGTGAGAGAGAGATCACAGCTGGGGGGAGGGGTTGAGGGAGAAGCAGACTCTCTGCTGAGCAGGAGCCCAATGGGACTCGATCCCAGGACCCTGGGATCATGACCTGAGCAGAAAGCAGATGCCCAACTGACTGAGCCACCCAGGTGCTCTCCACATAAATTTTAGAATAATCTTGTTGATAGCTACAAAAATTTTTGCTGGGATTTTGGTAGGAATTGCATTAAACCGGGCTATCAGATTGGGGAAAATGGACATCTTTACTATGTTTTTCTATCTATGCACATAGTATGTCTCTTGTTTTGTATTTGTTTATAAGATGGTCAGTCAGGACTGGCCACCAAAAGAGACAGAGGAGAGGCTCAGGAAAATAAAGTTTATTATATTCACAGGTCCTAGGGACAGGCATGGCATGCCACACAGAGCCACATGGAAAAATACTACAGTGATTAGGAGGCAGAAGATGGCAGCAAGGGGAATGCTTAAAGCCATGGCCTTTATTGGGGTTTCCACAGGAAAGGCAAAGGAAGGGTGAACAGTTTAGGATTGGGTTGTTTGAATAACTTCAGCAGGGTTTGGACTATAGGGATAGTCTCTAGTTGGGTGGTAACTGGCCCTGGGATGATGAAAGCAGAAGAATAGTGCCTCCTGGGGTGTATGGGCCAGATAGAGGAGTGTCAGGGTCTGGATTCGCAAGTTTGCCTATCAAAGACATAGTTAATCTGAGCCTTTGCTGTCTCTAAGAATTGGCTAGCCTTGGGAGGGTCAGTCTCTCCCCAGTCAGAAAGGCCATAATTACAGAAAATACAACACACACACAGTCATCTCTCCATTTATTAAGATCTTCTTTTAAACAATATTGTGTAGTTTTAGCATATAGATCCTATACAAGTTTTGTTAGACTTATACTTAAGTATTTAATATTTGCAGTGATTGTAAATGGCATTTTTAATTTAAGTTTCTATGTATTCGTTACTTCTATGAAGAAATACAGTTAGTTTTTGAATGCTGATGTTTTATCCTGTCACCTTGCCAGACCCACTTATAAGTTATAGTAGTTTGTTTCTGTAGATTCTTTGGTATTTTCTGTGAAGACAATCATGTCATCTGCAAATAATTTTTTATTTCATATTGGGTGGGTTGTGATAGTTTGTGTTTTCTAAGGGGTTGGTCCATTTCGTCTAAGTTGCCAAATTCATATGTGTAGAGTTAGGTCCTTTTGATGTCTGCTCATTTTCTGCCTACTTGGTTTATCAATTATTGAGAGAAGCATATTGAAGTCTGCAACTATAATTGAGGGTTTGTTTCTTTTTATAACTTTGTCAGTTTTTGGTTCACATATTTTACAGCTGTTTTGTTAATGATGCATGCACATTTATGATTGGTATATTTTATTGGTGGATTGACCCTTTTATTATGTAATTTTCTTTACTCTGAAAGCTGTTATGTGATATTAATATATACATTCCTGTTTTGCTTTAATGCCGTATGTATATATACATACATACACATATACGTGAATGCATGTATATATACGCATATAAACATGTATATGTATATACATTCATGTGTGTATACATACCTACGCATATATATACATGTATATGTATGTACATGTATATACGTTATATATTACTTTCAATCTGCCTATAGCACTATCTTTGAGTTTCTTGTAGATAGCATAAAGTTGGATCATATTTTTAAATGAACTCTGTCTTTTAATTGTATTTAGACCATTTACATTTAATATAATCATGATATATTTGTTATTAAGTCTACCATTTTGTTTCTTCTTGCTGTTTTTCATTTTCTTTTTACTTTTGTATGAGTTACTGAACATTTTTTATAATATTGATTTTTTATAGTAGAGTGTATTTGTATAGATTTTTACTGGTCCTAGATATTATATATATATGTATATATAAATAACATACATATGTGTATAATTTTACATAACCTATCATTTTATTAGTTCAAGTGGAGTATAGAAAACTTACCTTCCTTTTCAACCTTTTAATTTCCCTAATTTTTATATAATTGTCTTAAATATGTCTTCTAAATTCATTTAGAACCAAATCAGACATTATTATAATATTTGCTTCCACCATCAAACATAGTTTAGGAAACCTAAAAGGAGAAGGAAAACCTGTTATATTTACCTATATTCTTCTCATGTTCTTGTTTCCTTCCTGTTAATTCTAAGGTTCTTTATCATTTGTTTCTCTTTGGAATACTTCCTTTAGCTGTTCTTTTGGAGTAGGAGTGCTGGTGACAAGTTTCTATGTTTGTAGTTTACAAAAAAAAAGTCTGAATGCTGTTAATTTCAGATGGTTCAGTGTAATGCTAGTGGATGATCAGTAAAGGTCAAGGAAAAGGAAGACTGTAGGAGAAGTGACCTGCTGCAAGGGCTAATGTGATTTATATGTTTCCCTTTCCTTCACACTCATTGTGTGTGAGGCAGTGAGTGGTGGGGGTTACACATTGGTATATCCATTCAGGGGAATACTACTCAGCAATAAAAAGAACAAATTATTGATATATGCTGCAACATGGGTAACTCTGAAATGCATTATGCTAAATGAACAGAGCAGACCCAAAAGAATACGTAGGGTATTATCTCATTTACATAAACTATAGAAAAATGTGAATTAATAACAAAGTAAATCAATAGCTGTCTGGGGAAAGAATGAAAGGGAGTGAGATGGAGGTATTACCAAGGGAACTTGAAGTAACATGTGGAGGTGTTGTTATCTTGACTGTGGTGATGATTTCAAAGATGCATATGTATGTCAAATGTACCTAATTGTACACTTTAAATATATGCGGTTTATTCTGTGTCAGTTATAACTTAATAAAGCTGTTTAAAAAAAATACATCAACAAGTGTTCCTCGAGTGCATGGCTGTTGTGCAGCAACCCCACATGCAGGTCCAGCTTGTCTACTCTTGTTTACAGAGGGAGGCCCATGATCACATGCTTGGATGTTGTGGCATTGTCAAATGGCTCTGGAAGTTTTTAAATGTTTACTCTCAGTTTCTTTTCTTTTCTTTCTTTCTTCCTTAGTTCCTTCCTTCCTTCCTTCCTTTTTCAAGATTTTATTTATATTATTTGACAGAGAGCTCAAGCAGGGGGGAGTCACAGGGAGAGGGAGAGGGAGAAGCAGGCTCCTCGCTGAGTTAAGAGCCCGACGATGCAAGACTCAATCCCAGGACCCTGAGATCGTGACCTGAGCTGAAGGCAGACACTTAACCAACTGAGCCACCCAGGCACCCTGTTATTCTCAGTTTCTATACTTAAATATTTGTTGACAGTAAGAAACAGTTTTATCTGTTTTAGAGCAGTTTGTTCTGTTTTTCATTTTCTTTTTACTTTTGTATGAGTTACTGAACATTTTTGAATCACACTGTTTTAGAGCAGTGCTACCACACTATTTTATATACATTTTTTCCATCTCAGAATGGGGCCATTCTATATGTATCATTCTGAACCCATTTTATTCTACTTTATGGTCACACTGTGATTTGATTAACTTGCATTCTGGTGTATGAATTCTGGCAATGAGTGTATGTATGTGATTTTCTTAGTATGACTCCCAGGAAATTAACTGGACCTGATAAAATATCCTGCTGAATTTCAAAGTGGATTATATTGAAACTTCGGTATAATATTTCCTACTCTCAAAATTTTAGAGGAATCATTTAAAAGTTTCATGCAGTGTAAGAATTTTTCAAACTGGGGTGTGCTGGAGGATAGTAGGGTCTGGCATGGTAAAATCTGTGCTCAGATCCTGGCTGTCTGAGTGAACTGGACAGAGACCTGCTGTTTGTCTTTCATCCTCATTTCCTGTCTTTAGAGATGGAGCAGCAGTTGCCTCATCGGATCAGCAATACAGTGAAAGTGTGTGGTAACTGACAAGTGATATATGTATGTGCCTTTCTTTCACTGGATATATTTTTACCTTCATCTGGGACAGTTACCATTTTTTTTTTTTTAAGGACTACGACCCATATTTTGAAAATAATTTGGAAACTAGTCTTTAAAAATGGAGGGCAAATTTTGTAGAGTGTCTTTTCTTTTACATATAGGTGAAAGAACTGAGAGATATATATGAACTAATGTACCTTTTTTTTCCTTTTCAGGCAATTACTATCTTAACTGAATTAATTAGGGAAAACTTCAGAAACAGCAAATTAAAACAGTGCCTCTTACCAACCCTTGGGGAGCTGATCTACCTTGTAGCCACCCAGGTGAGACCATCTGATTAACTCTATTGCTTTTTGACCTGTTCTGACAAATCCTGGCTGACAAGTGTTAATATCCTATAAAAGTTGTTTTGACTTTGCCCCTTAGAGCATACCTAAGGAACTTTGGGGAAATTTTACCTCTGAAAGATTAAATCTATCAGTGTCTTTCTGTCTGTCTGTCCCTATCCTTGTCTGTCATGTTCCCTCTCTCTCCCATTGCCTCCTAGGAGGTATAGGAAATTCTCAAGCCATATTTAAAAACCAATTGACCAAAAGTCCCCCAAACTACTTTCTAGATTGCTACCATCTTTGACTCCTTCAAGAGGAGGCCATTGGTTCTTTGTGTATAAAAGCTTCCTTTCAGTTAAAAACACTACTTTGTGCAAATAGAGCTCTTAACATGGCCATGAGAGTTTGTGACTACAAAATTTGACTTTTTATTTCTTAAGTTACAATACTGAAGTGCTATTGAATTCAACAAAAAAATTAGTATTTCTTTTGTGTTTTTTCTGAATGTTATTGAATTGATAATGATAAATTATGTTATTCATTTGATTTATTTATTATTCATTTTCTTTATTAGTTTCAGAGGTAGAATTTAGTGATTCATCAGTTGCGTATAACACCCAGTGCTCATTACATCAGGTGCCCTCCTTAATGCCCATCACCCAATTATACCCATCTCTCCACCCACCTCCCCTCCAGCAACCCTGTTTGTTTCCTAGGGTTCAGCATCTCTTATGGTTTGCCTCCCTCTCAATTTTCATCTTATTTTATTTTTCCTTCCCTTCCTTTATGTTCATCTGTTTTGTTTCTTAAATTCCATATATGAGTGAAAACATAAGGTTTTTATCTTCCTTTGACTTATTTCTCACTTAATACCCTCCAATTCCATCCATGTTGACGTAAATGGTAGGTATTCATCCTTTCTGATGGCTGAGTAATATTCCATTGTATATGTATACCACATGTTCTTTATCCATTCATCTGTCAGTGGATATCTGGGCTCTTTTCCATAGTTTGGCTGTTGTGGACATTGCTGCTATAAACATTGGTGATACTGAGTTTTAAAGAAGTACTGGTAAGTTGTAGTTGATTAGGAAGTTCTCACTGTATTTATGATGTTTTGGGTCCTAGATCTTGCTCAAATGTTGTATAACCTGAATATCCTTAGTATCTAAGTTAAACTCACTTTCTACCATAATTGTTATAAAACATCGTTATTTAAAATCATTTAGCTCCATAATTAGTAGTGGTAGCTGGTACAGCAAATCTGTCCTCCTTATTCTTTTTTTTTTCCATAAATGTTTTGGCTATTCTTGGCCCTTTGCATGTTGGAATCAGCTTGTCCAGTTCTGCAAATCATTTAAAGAAATTGCATTGACTATGCAGATCAATTTGGGAAGTACTGTTACCTTGATAATTTTGAGTCTTCTGCATATTTGGAGTTGTACTGAACCCGTGTGTCACTTAGGAAAGTAGTGGTATGTTGATGTTCTTTTGTCTTCCAGTGCATAAAAATGGCACTTCCATATATTTCTATTTTTAGAAATACTTTCATTTAAGTTAGTTCATTCTATTCATAAAACTTTTGTACACCTATCTTTGGTTGAATTTGTTCTTAGGTAATTTTATATTTTGAAGAGACAACACATTCATGAAGCTAGAAAACTAGGAAGTCAAGAAAGGTATATGGGGGGGCGGCCTGGGTGGCTCAGTCGTTAAGTGTCTGCCTTCGGCTCAGGTCATGATCTCAGAGTCCTGGGATCGAGCCCCACATCGGGCTCCCTGCTCAATGGGGAGTCTGCTCCTCCCTCTCCCTCTGCTGTTCCCCCTGCTTGTGCTCTCTCTGTGTCTGACTCTCTGTCAAATAAATAAAATCTTTAAAAAAAAAAAAAAAGGTATATGGGTAAAGTGGTTTTCCTATTTTTGTTCCCTATAAGCCTCGTTCCCCAATCTAATCACATCCCTACTTTTATTAACAAAGTTACTTTTTAAAAATAATTTTTTATTGTTATGTTAATCGCCATACATTATATCATTAGTTTTTGATGTAGTGTTCCATGATTCATTGTTTGTGCATAACACCCAGTGCGCCACGCAGAATGTGCCCTCTTTAATACCATCCCCAAGCTAACCCATCCCCCACCCCCTCCCCTCTAGAACCCTCAGTTTGTTTTTCAGAGTCCATCGTCTCTAATGGTTCGTCTCCCCCTCCAACTTACTCCCCTTCATTCTTCCCCTCCTGCTATCTTCTTCTTCTTCTTCTTTTTTTTCTTAACATATATTGCATTATTTGTTTCAGAAGTAGAGATCCGTGATTCATCAGTCTTGTACAATTCACAGTGCTCACCATAGCACATACCCTCCCCAGTGTCTATCACCCAGCCACCCAATCCCTCCCACCCCCCACCACTCCAGCAACATTCAGTTTGTTTCCTGAGATTAAGAATTCCTCATATCAGTGAGGTCATATGATACATGTCTTTCTCTGATTGACTTATTTCACTCAGCATAACACCCTCCAGTTCCATCCACATTGTTGCAAATGGCAAGATCTCATTCCTTTTGATGGCTGCATAATATTCCATTGTGTATATATACCACATCTTCTTTATCCATTCATCTGTTGATGGACATCTTGGCTCTTTCCACAGTTTGGCTATTGTGGACATTGCTGCTATAAACATTGGGGTGCACGTACCCCTTCGGATCCCTACATTTGTATCTTTGGGGTAAATACCCAGTAGTGCAATTGCTGGATCGTATGTTAGCTCTATTTTCAACTGTTTGAGGAACCTCCATACTGTTTTCCAGAGTGGTTGCACCAGCTCACATTCCCACCAACAGTGTAGGAGGGTTCCCCTTTCTGTGCATCCTCGCCAACATCTGTCGTTTCCTGACTTGTTAATTTTAGCCATTCTGACTGGTGTGCGGTGGTATCTCATTGAGGTTTTGATTTGGATTTCCCTGATGCCGAGCGATGTTGAGCACTTTTTCATGTGTCTGTTGGCCATTTGGATGTCTTCTTTGGAAAACTGTCTGTTCATGTCTTCTGCCCATTTCTTGATTGGATTATTTGTTCTTTGGGTGTTGAGTTTGATAAGTTCTTTATAGATTTTGGATACTAGCCCTTTATCTGATATGTCATTTGCAAATATTTTCTCCCATTCTGTCGGTTGTCTTTTGGTTTTGTGGACTGTTTCTTTTGCTGTGCAAAAGCTTTTTATCTTGATGAAATCCCAATAGTTCATTTTTGCCCTGGCTTCCCTTGCCTTTGGCGATGTTTCTAGGAAGAAGTTGCTGCGGCTGAGGTCGAAGAGGTTGCTGCCTGTGTTCTCCTTTAGGATTTTGATGGACTCCTGTCTCACGTTTAGGTCTTTCAACCATTTGGAGTCTATTTTTGTGTGTGGTGTAAGGAGATGGTCCAGTTTCATTCTTCTGCATGTGGCTGTCCAATTTTCCCAACATCATTTGTTGAAGAGACTGTCTTTTTTCCATTGGACATTCTTTCCTGCTTTATCAAAGATGAGTTGACCATAGAGTTGAGGGTCCATTTCTGGGCTCTCTGTTCCATTGATCTATGTGTCTGTTTTTGTGCCAGTACCATACTGTCTTGATGATGACAGCTTTGTAATAGAGCTGGAAGTCCGGAATTGTGATGCCGCCAGCTTTGCTTTGCTTTTTCAACATTCCTCTGGCTATTCGGGGTCTCTTCTGGTTCCAATCAAATTTTAGGATTATTTGTTCCATTTCTTTGAAAAAGGTGGATGGTATTTTGATGGGGATTGCATTGAATGTGTAGATTGCTCTAGGTAGTATTGACGTAATCACAATGTTTGTTCTTCCAATCCATGAGCATGGAACGTTTTTCCATTTCTTTGTGTCTTCTTCAGTTTCTTTCATGAGTATTTTATAGTTTTCTGAGTACAGATCCTTTGCCTCTTTGGTTAGATTTATTCCTAGGTTTATCTTATGGTTTTGGGTGCAATTGTAAATGGGATCGACTCCTTGATTTGTCTCTCTTCTGTCTTGTTGTTGGTGTATAGGAATGCCACTGATTTCTGTGCATTGATTTTATATCCTGCCACTTTACTGAATTCCTGGATGAGTTCTAGCAGTTTTGGGGTGGAGTCTTTTGGGTTTTCCACATACAGTATCATATCATCTGCAAAGAGTGAGAGTCTGACTTCCTCTTTGCCGATTTGGATGCCTTTGATTTCTTTTTGTTGTCTGATTGCTGTGGCTAGGACTTCTAATACTATGTTGAATAGCAGTGGTGATAATGGACATCCCTGCCGCGTTCCTGACCTTAGGGGAAAAGCTCTCAGCTTTTCCCCATTGAGAATGATATTCGCTGTAGGTTTTTCATAGATGGCTTTTATGATATTGAGGTGTACCCTCTATCCCTATACTCTGAAGAGTTTTGATCAAGAAAGGACGCTGTACTTTAACAAAGTTACTTTTGTATGTATGAGCAAACAGAAATGTAGATTCTTATTTTGATTCATTTTTATGTACCAATTAGGACAACTTGCTCTTTTTCTCTTAATAGTTACACACTCCTTAAAAAAATTTAGGGGGCACCTGGGTGGCTCAGTTGGTTAAGTGTCTGCCTTCGGCTCAGGTCATGATCCCAGGGTCCCGAGATCGAGTTCCGCACTGGGCTCCCTGCTCAGCGGGGAGTCTGCTTCTCCCTCTCCCTCCTCCCCCCCTGCTTGTGCTCACTCTCTCTCTCTCTCTCTCTCTCAAATAAAATTATTTGAAAGAGAGAGCATTAGCAGGGGGAGGAGCACAGGGAGAGGGACAAGCAGACCCCCCACTGAGCAGGGAGCCTGACGCAGGGCTCCATCCCACAGCCCTGAGATCATGACCTGAGCCGAAGGCAGATGCTTAATCAAATGAGCCACCCAGGCGCTCCAGTAGTTGTACACTTTTAAGAATAGCCTATGGAGTGACTGAGCCAACCAGGCGTAGCCTATGGAAATATATACACTGGAGTTATTTCTTAATTAATGAATATATTTCTTAATCAGTACTTAGGGCTCCCTCCTCTCTCCCTCTTGTCTCTCCTCACCTGTGCCAAGTTTGGTGAAAGGCAGTTTTACTTTATCTTTACCTTGAGTGCTCAGGGCCTTGACATCAGAGCTCGGACTGACCAAGTTTTGTAGGCCCTCAGAGTAAAAGCAAATTCAGTGCTCAGTTGAGCTCTCACGCTTGCGATTATCTAATTTTTGGTTTGATTCTTTGTTTTCCTGTCACATCTCTGATACATTGTAAGAATGCCAGAATACAGGTGTTGCTTTTATTAGAGGAGGGGTCAGGTACCTAGTCTGCCATCTGATCAGGGATGAGAGCCTACTCATGTAAGTGGCAGGCAATCAACTGCACATGTTTAAAGATTACAATTTGATCAACTTTGATATATGTATACACCTGTGAAACTATCACCACAGTTCAGATAATGAACATATCCATCACCTCTAAAAGTTTCTCCACACCCTTTGTAATCCCTCCCTCCTGTTCCTCTTCCTGCTCCCAGGCAACCGCTGATTTGCTTTCTGTCATATAGACTAGTTTGCATTTTCTAGAATTTTATAAATGGAATCATACAGAATCCTATTTCTATTTGCTTCGAAAAGTAGATCTAGAGAATCATTTTCTTTGGTACGTGTTTTAACTGGATATAAGCTAAGGCTATTTTAATAAAGGGATGATTCTGTGGCATTTGACTACAACTTAGGATAGCAAACTAGAAAAGGAAGTTATGTCCCTGGATCCATAAAAATCAATACCTTTTCACGAGATGAGGGCTTTTGTGGAATTGTCAGTGTGAATACACGTGAACCTTAAAATCTCAGGTCAATGCTGATGTAGTGAGACTGACCTGAAGCGAGAGTGTATAATACAGAGACCTAAGCCCTGTCCTGTTGGCTGTCTGGGAGCAGCCCAAGGTGACAAGCTTGAGGATGGAAGACCAGAGTAGATTCTGCAGAGGACATTAGGAGGCAATACATTTATGGTTTATGTATTTTTTTCTTTTATCAAGGATACCTCCCACGTTGAGCCCAGGTATTTCTATTTTGTCTTTTTTTTTTTTTTTTGCCCAGCCATTAATGATCTTTCACCTGGACTGTTGTAAGAACTCTTAGATGGTGTCCTTGCTTTATTCTTATGTCCATTACAGTCTATTTTCCAGACATTAGCTAGAGTGAGCCTGTTAAAAACACATGAGAGAGTACGGTGTCCTTCCTCAGAGCCCTCCAGTGCTTCTTGTCTTGCTTGTTGGCACCACCAAATCCCACCATTTGCCCTGGCAGCCATTGTGGGCTGCCTTCCCAGTGCCTGTGTGACCTTAGCTCTCGCTGCTGTCCTGCTGTCTTCCTCTTCCTGCCACATTGACCTCCGCACAGCTCTTTGAACCCGTTATGCCATATTCCTGCCTCAACGCCTTTGCACTTACTGTTCCTCCTGCTTGCAGTGATTTCACACCCTCGCCCCACCAGATGTTTGTGTTTTCTCTGTTCAGACCCCTTCAGAGAGCCTTTTCCTGGCTCTCTGTAGTATGAGATGGAGCCACCCCGTCTACGGTCTTCCTCTAGCTCCTTACCCTGCTCTGGTTTTCTTTATAGTAGTCCTCACCGTCTTGACTTACTTGTCTTATTGGCTCTTCCGCCATGGCTACCTCTTCCTCTTCCTCCTTTCCCTTCTTCCTCCTCTTTTTCTTTACCCACTAAGCAGTATTAAAGCAGGAAATTTGTCTTGCTCATGGTTGTGTGGCTCTTGTTTAGAAGAATTCCTGGCACTTCGCAGGTGCTTTTATAATGCACGACCTGCACCAAGACCAGCAGGAACAGGAGGGAAGTGAGCAAGGAGGCAGGGCTGGAGAGGCTGGCCAGGGCATGTGCAGGAAGGACTCCTTGCCTGAGTCGGATGTCTTCGTCTTGACCCTGTGAGCAAGGGGAAGTCATGAAGGCTTTACAGAAGGGAATTGACGTCATCTGGCTTAAATACCAAAAAGATGACTCTGGCTTAAAGGTGGAGAATAGATTGGAGAACGATAAGAAAATATTCTGAACCTAAATGCGAGTAAGCAAAGTAGGAGCAGAGTTAGGAGTGAGAAGAGGGTGTTTCAGGAAAGAGAAAGTCAGTAGGGCTGAATGTAGTTTATGGTCCATGAAGGAGGACTGAAAAGCGCCTGCTGGACTGAGTGACATGGAAGTCACCGGAAACTCAGCAAGAGCTGTTTTAGGTATTTACTTTGAGCGAGGAAGTCAGAAGAAGGCCTCCTGGGAAAGGCAATGTGAAATGAGAATGGTTGTGAAAAGTTGTAGGGGGTGGTGCTGGGGGCTGCAGGGGGCCCCGTTTGGAAGATGGAGACAGCCAATTCTAGCAGAAATGGAAAGGACCCGGTGGACAGACTTTGAAAATTTAGGAGCAGTACGGGATAGTCCATAACCTAATGACCCTGAAGGAGGCAAGATGCGAATGGGATCCTGAGCCCACATGGAAGGATGGAGGATCCTCTCCTGGTATAACCACTGGGTGTAAGTAGCAGATGGCTTCAGGTGTAGGAACCACTGGGAGCTCCTTTCTCACTACTTCCATGATCTCTGAGGAGGAGGAAAGCAGGTGCAGTGGTGGGAGGATCCCAGGTGTGAAGTCGTCCTTTCGAAGAAGGAATTGGTCAGAGAGGAACGAACGGGAGGCTGCAGAGTGATATTGAAGGTCTCTGGGCTTTCAAAGCTTAAGTCATTCACGGACTCTCTGTGTTCTGGGGTCTGCCCTCTATGAGCCCAGCTGCCTGAGCGCAGACCTGAAGAAGACAAGCCACTGGCTCTCTCCAGGGTTGGTTTCCCCAGAGAGGGGAAAAGGGCATGTTGGAGGGTGAGGTGTTCAGGCTTTTGGCAGGAGTGATTGAATGGTAGACCATGGCATCTAAGTGGCCGGGAGGGAGGATAGGTGATACATTACAGAAAGATTGTGGTAGATGGGACGCCTGGGTGGCTCAGTCATTAAGTGTCTGCCTTCGGCTCGGGTCATGATCCCAGGGTCCTGAGATCGAGCCCCACATCAGGCTCCCTGCTCGGCGGGAAGCCTGCTTCTCCCTCTCCCACTCCCCCTGCTTGTGTTCCTGCTCTTGCTTTCTCTCTCTCTGTCAAATAAATAAATAAAATCTTAAAAAAAAAAAAAAAGATTGTGGTAGATGTTTTGAATAAGTGAGCTGGAAAGGAGGAAAATTGTGTTTCGAAGTTAAATTGGGTGCTAAATTAGTGATTTTTAAGCTGGAGCAGCAGCTTGGGATGATAATGTCTCGATTATGACTGAAATTTTTTAAAAAAGATTTTATGTATTTACTTGAGGAAAGAGAGTGCGTGTGCACGAGAGCATGGGGGAGCAGAGGGAGAAGCAGACTCCCTGTTGAGCAGGGAGCATGTGGGGCTCCATCCCAGGACCCCGAGATCATGACCTGAGCCTAAGGCAAATGCTTAACTGACTGAGCCACCCAAGCATCCTGGCTGTGTGGAATTTTGTGATTGAGGATTTGGGGGGAAAAAAAAAAAGCGCGAGGATATGGTTTTAATGGGTCGTAAGTCTCATCATAAGTGTAAAAAACATTTGGATCAGTAAGGTACCAGTTCTAAAATTTGGAGAATCTTAAATATTTTCTCTAAACAGTAATTTCTTTTGCTTTAAAGAGATTAATTTTCCCCACCTTTTTCTGTGGTACCTGATTTATATTTTGATTTTATTTGATACACTGCAGGAGGGTTTTAGTGGTTATTACCCTAATTTGGTTCTTCTGTGAGAGAATCATTGCCAATATCATTAAAATTAGTGGACCTGCTAATCACATTTGTTTATTTTTTTTAACGCATTGTCTTACTAGGTAACATACTCTCCTTTACTTGTACTTACGGGTCATCCTGAGTATTCCTCAGAGCTGTGTATTCTGTGCCTTCAAATCGTTTCAGATAATGTAATACCTTTTAGGTAGGAATAACTGTATTATCATCTACAATTATCAATAGAGTAGTTTCTGTACCAACTGGATCATATTGTCATTTCTCACTTCTTTTCGTCTGGTTTCTGATGAAGGGGTCTGATGAATATCACATAGAATATGATGAGAAAGAGAAATACCTTGTATGTACAATGTAGTAAAAGACCCCCTAATCAGGTCAGAACTGTCAGGTAATCTGTAATACTTTAAATAGAATATTAAGAAGTTTAGATAGTTTATTAAGTTTATTAATATTAAGAATATTAGTCTGTGTATTTGAAACTGCCTTTTTCTTGAACGGGTTAATATCTTTTGTGCTGTTAGCTTCACTGCCTTTCCTTCCACTTCATTTTAGGAAGAAAAGAAGAACCCTAGAGAATGCTGGGCTGTCCCCTTGGCTGCGTACACGGTGCTAATGAGGTGCCTTCGGGAAGGGGTAAGGCTCCTTTGTTGTCCTCTGTAGACACCAGCAATTGTAATAACCCTTCAGGCACTGTGTGCGGATTGTAGCCTGCAGCGGTGAGGAGGCTGTCAACCAAGTATTGCTCCTGAATTTAAATAATCCCGACAAGCCACTGTGAGCAAGTGACCTACAGCGGAGCACGTGTAAAAATGAACTAGCTTTCTCCTTCACTTTCAAAAATGTCTTGCTTTTAAAAGACGATAGCAAGCACAACATAAGTAGCTTTATACTAACATTCTTAATGCTCCCCTGCTTTTAAACTTATTGATACACCAGTTTCATAAGCAAGGTGTATGCAGGGAATTTTCTGTGAGCCTCAGAACCCCATGATTATCTTGTCAGGTTGCCATTTTGCAGTTCAGAAACAGGAAGCTCCCACTAGTATCCATTGATTTTAATATTAAGTAGTATTTGTTATGTGATTTTTTTTTTTTTTTTTAATTTATTCACCGTCCTTCTCATGTGTTGTTAGTGGCTGAAAACCAGCTAGCCGGCCAACCAACCAACCAGTATATGTAGCTCCTGTGTGTTACTATGTAAAGGATTTAGTAGCTGACCTAAAAGGTTCACAATTTCTGTTTGCTTTAAACCATTTGACATTGTTTCACCCAAGGCAAAGCCATAGGCAGAAAACATTCCTTAAGGAATGAAAAAATATGTCACAATAAACATCTTCCTTTTGAGTTCATTACTTGCTGCCTTGTATGGAAAGGGAATGATGTTGCAAGTGGAGAAGAGCTCTGTGAGATTTTACCCCTAGTGATCCAGAAGTGAAGTTTGAACACTCCTAGCCTGTAGGGTTGAATGCGTTGTCAGCCGTCGTTACAGGATATGAATAAAGCTGGTAAATTGTACTTTATCAATAATACAAGAATTAAGTCATGTTTATCTGTAGTCACAAGACATGCTTTAGTTTATCGTTCAAGGCCTCAAGCTAGGCACACTTGGGGGCACACAGGTGAAGAAGGTGAATATTCTCTTCACACACTGATCCCACCTCTTGCGGGAGATAAGATAAAAATACAAAGTGGAATATGTCAAGTGTATAAATGTGAAAGAACAAAATATGGGAACTCAAGGGAGAAAGGAGTCTTCTAGAAACTTTCTTAATAGTGTGAAGAAATTTTAAAAACTTTGTATTTTAATTTTTAAAAGTTAGATTAATGGGTAGTAAAAGATGATTAGTTCTAGTCTATGGGGTTATATCCTTTATTGAATATCTTCTCCCCACCCCTTCCTGTGTTTATCACTCTACATGTAATATGAAGAATAATGTCTGATATCCATGTATATTGTTATTAAATAATTATTGTTAATATTTATAATGACATTTTTTATTTTAGTAGCACACGTACCTTTCAATGTCTTGGTATGTATGACAGGTCTTGTGTATTTTTCATGAAGAGGGAGGGAAGTCAGGACTCTCTAATTTATGAAAATTTTGTTTTCTATCTGGAAAGCAGTTAGATATGTGCTTGGACAGCACGTGCCCGTGTCCCTTGTTTTTCAAAAGTTCACGTTACACCACTTCACTTTTACGAAAGACCCACGTTAGCACTTGTTTTCTCTAATTGAAAGAAATGGAAAGAGGATTTCTGCTTCTATGAAAAAAAGCAAAAAGCAAAAATAGCATTCAGGGTTTGTTTTGCAATGAGTTGTTACACAGCAGGCCTCCCCTGGCCCTGCCAGGGAGGGAGAGCAGCCCTGCCATGGTCCTTCCTTTCCCCGGAACTACACTCAGCATCTCAGCATCAAGCCACTATGGCTTTGAACCGTGTCGTTGAGCACCTGTGCTTTGTCTTGATGTATTTTCTGCATCTGTTAACAATGTGTGTCCTAAGGTATCAGAGAAGCCTGAGAGAGGTTATTTTTGGGGTCTGGGAATCCTCAAAATCTTGTCTATTTATGTAATTGCTCTTCGCTTTATACCACTGGGGCTTAAGAAAGGTTTCACAGAAACATGGTACTTATGGATAGTGGGGGAAACCTGAACTCTAACATTGCCTCTGTAAGACAGATAAATTAAGGGATGATTATATTCCCCCTAAAAAAGGGTTTCTGTTTTTATAAAAATATCTCAATTGTAGCAGTTCTTTAACATATAGGTCTAATGTCTTTAGGACATAGTTGCAGGTAAATAATTTTTAAGCCTCTTATTTTCAACAATTAAAAACTTTTTTCCAGGTAGGAAAACTGTTTTCCCAGCACCTACTGGTATTTCTGAATGTAGGTTCTTTTTTGAAATTTATGTCATAAACAAAAGAGCATGTGAAATTTATGTGTATGCTTATATGTATGGTTAAAAGCACACACTTTGATACACCCACTCTCTTGGGGAAAAAAAAAAAAAAGGCTGGTGGCCTAGAGAATTCTTCTCTGTCCCTCTTGGATTGCAGCTTACTTTTTCTTTCAAGGAGTAGCTCTTATTCTGACTTTGTGATAAACACTCCCAAGTTTTTCTTTATCATGTTTCCATCTTTGTATTGCTAGATATTTCTTTTCTGCCTTTCCTTTTCATTTTCCCTTTTCCCTTTCCTTTTTGAGAGGGAGGGACAGAGGGAGATGGAGAGAGAGAATCTTAGCAGGCTCTACGCCCAGCCTGATGTGGGACTCGATCTCACAACCCTGAGATCATGACCTGAGCTGAAATCAAGAGTTGGACGCTTAACCAACTGAGCTACCCAGGTGCCCCTGTATTGCTAAATATTTCATTGACTGGTTCTTTTTTTTTTTTAAAGATTTTATTTATTTATCTGACAGAGACAGCGAGAGAGGGAACACAACCAGGGGGAGTGGGAGAGGGAGAAGCAGGCTTCCAGCAGAGCAGGGAGTCCGATGCGGGGCTCGATCCCAGGACTCTGGGATCACGACCTGAGCCGAAGGTAGACGCTCAACGACTGAGCCACCCAGGTGCCCCTCATTGACTGGTTCTTAAGGCTAAACTTCATATAAATAAATGGCACTAAATCCTGTGGAAATTTAATTCTTTTGCTCTAATGTTAGGTCGAGATTGATACATGCTAATTGTGAAAACTGTTGTTCATTTATACTACTATGTAGTATGTTGGAATATACCTCAGTATACACAGACACACATGTGTATCGGTTTATACTCCCACCAGTAGGGTATAGGAGTACACCTGAACCCATATCTTGAACGTTTGATATAGTCAGACTTTAAATTTTTGTTTCATGGGCATTAAATATTTTCTCATAATAGTTTTAATAATCGTTTTTGTGATTACTAATAGGATCACAATCCTTTTTATTTATCTCTCTTTTTTTTTTTGGTTTTCCACTGCTTTGTAGGAATTCTGTATGCTGCCTCTCTTACCGCAAGCTTATTGTTATAAAATGTTTGCAATGTTAGAAAAGGAAAGAAAACTCTAATGGTGACCGTTATTTCCATCACTTAGTTTCAACAGTTTTTAACATTTTGCTCTCCTTGCTTTGTTGTGATATAGGTATATATATTCATGTGTACATTCATTTATTACTCATTTATTCATTTCTTTACTTTCTGAACTGTTTGAAAAAATTGCAGATGTCATGGCACTCCACCCACTGGAATTTTTATGTATTCTGGATATTAATCTTCTGCTGTTTATGTGTGTTACAGATATTATGATTTGTGGTTGTGCTTTTCATTTTCTTTACAGTGTCTGTTGATAAGCAGAAGTTCCTCATTTTAATGTAGCTGAATTTATCAATCTCTTTCGTTATGATTTGTGCTTTTTGGGTCTTAAATGCTTCTCTACTTCATCATTAAGATGGTCTATTCCATTTTCTTCTAAAAGCTTTATTTTTTTCCCTTTTTCTATTTAGAACTTTATTTGCAATTGTTTTGTGTGTGTGGTGCTATGTATGGGTAGTTTTATTTTTAAAAGTAATATGGGTATTCTGTTCTCCCAGGGCTATTTGATGAGAAGGTCACCCTCTCCCCACTGCTCTGCGGTGTCCCCTGTCATAGCAATGTCTCTTCCTGGGCTCTATTTGTTTCTGTTGGTCTATTATCTGTCTCTGTGCCATACTATCCAAATGAATATTTTCTATTATTTAATAATTTTCAAGTATCTGGGGAGTTTTCCCCTACTAATGTAATCTTTTTAAGATTTTATTTATTAGAGAGAGAGCACGAGAAGGAGAGGGAGAGGGAGAAGCAGACCCCCGCTAAGCAGGGAACCTGATGTGTGGGACTCAGTCCCAGGACCCTGGGATCATGACCTGAGCCAAAGGCAGATGGCCAACTGACTGAGCCACCCAGGTGCCCTAATGTAATCTTTTTCAAGAGTTTCTTAGCTATTTTTGTTCCTTTCACTTGTATATAGTTTTTACATTCACCTCTTCGGTTGCACCTGTTGGGATGTTAAGAATACATCTGTAAATTTGAGGAGAGTTAGTGGATATTAGTAGAAAATGGAAGGCCTACTCAATGAGAAGACTAATAATAGGAGAATGACACATTTGATTTAAAAAAACTGAATTAAGGTAACTGAAGTTCCTTTGAATTCTTAATGACGTTCAGCTCACGTATTTAATTTATTGCTTACGTTAACTCTCTCAGATGTCGGTCTCATTCTTTACAGCTAACATTTATGAAAGCCATATTATGTCCTAGCTGGGTACAGGAAAGGTAAAGATGAATTAAGACACTGCCTTGCCTTCATTGTTTTAGGAAAAAGAAATGTTTTTGTCCTTAGTTCTGTGTGCCAGCCTTTTATTGTTGTTTTTGTAGCTTCATTTGCTTTGGTTTCTTTGTGTAGTCACTAAGACATTTCAGGCTATTGATTGTTCTCTCACTCTAGTGTTAGCTGTATCTCACGCGTTTTGACATGTTAGTATTTCCAATGTTGCTATTTCATTGATAGTCCCTAGTCCTCGTTTTAAATTTGTCCTTCATCCATGTTGTTTATGGATGATTAAAACATTTTCAGGTGGGTGTGATTTTATTGCCTCTTTTTTTTCTTTGTTAA